TCACAATGAATAGATTGAAGAGTTCCCAAAATTAGTCGAAGACATTCGTAAAGGTTTCATACCTCTGCGGTTTACGGTTTCTGAGGAGTAGGATAACAAGCATTTCTTGCGAAAGGGGCAATAACTTTGAAAGCGGTCGAGGTTCATTTACGCAGGGTCAACTGCAAACATCTTTTACGAAGTACATTCTTATAGACTATAAATCTTTTCGATAAATCTTGAAACAAAAAATCACACGGCGGAAAAATAATAAAAAAGGAAAAGAAGAAACAGAAGGAAATTAATAGGTCTTTCCACAGAAAGGTGGAAAGACCTAACTAGTAAACTAATTGTTCAGAGAACAATAAGACGTCTTTCCACCTGTTTAAGTGTTTCAATATCATTTGGGCTGAAAAAAGTAGAAAAAAAGCAAGAAAATAAATAAAACAGCAAAATTTCTCATTTCAGGTAAACTAATTGCATTACAGATATAAAAAATAAATGAAACAAAAAAACAGCAAAATTCTCATTTCTGTACTAGGATTTTAGATAGGGCTCGGAGTTGTTATAAATGTACCGTAAACAGACGAGTCGACTCGGGGATAACCACGGATTCATTGACTACGAAAAGAGAGCACGTTAAAACACTGTAACACGCTCCTAGGTGTATATATGAGCTTGAATGAGATTGTTTTCGAGTTAAGATGTAAGGGGTAGGGTCTAATTAAAATTATGATATACCTATTAATATGAATAACATGCATTTGATCTGCGCATCAAGACGGAAGCGTAAGTGGAAACGTCGTGAAATTTGTCCCATGTGTACCTGCATCATATGTGCATTATACATGATTTGAGTTGTTTTATGTTTGAAATGGATGGCGATAAATTATTTAAGAGCATGTGAAAAACATAAGCGAGAGATGCAAGGCAGTTTGTATTTATGGAAAAGGAGAACAGAGAATCGGGTTCGGGTTTTAACATTCCTTACCGAAATAGGCAAGAAATTCAAAGTAAGTAGCATAAATAAAATTCCAAACATGTAATTCTAGATGGGAAACACAGGGAAGAAACGTGTATTTCTTTTTACTCTCCTGAAAGTCGCTATTTCTTGGGATTATGTTATTCTAGAAAAAAAAACCAAATTTCAAATGAAATCAAGATTCATTCAATTAATATTAAATCCAAATAAAATTGAACTAAATTCCATACACTAAAGAAAGCAAGAATACTTGGTATTAAAATGTCGTAATAGAGCAGGAGAATCGAATGATATTAACAAAAATTGCAGAAATAGCCAATACGGGCTTTAATTAATTTTTATGCTCAGCAATAACTAAATTTCAGACAGAAAAAAAATGCAGATTTTGCCGATTTTCACTAGTATTTCATTATATTTCAGAGACTAACCTTAAAACTCTCAGGACAATTTCTTTAAGTTCTCTTCTTGCTTTTACTCCGAATCTTATGTCGATATATCGTATCGTTAGACTTTTAGACATTTTTTCTATGCTGCTGTTGATTTTTTTTTTTTAAGAAAGGAAGGGGGGGGAGTGGTTATAAGCATTTGTAAGAGTAAGGGTTGCAAATACCTCAACGACCTTAAGCTTGATTGTGACCTTTGGGTCAATAGGGGGTCAAAGGTCAAGGTCATTTATCAAGGTCAAAGGTCAAGGTCATCCATAAAAAAAAAAAAGAAAGAGTGAGAGATAAACTTGAGATTAACACTTGAAGATGAATCTAGATAAAGGTAATGAATATTTCTTTATTACTTTTTGAGTTAGGGGTCAAGGTCAAAGGTCAAGGTCAAATATCAAGGTCAAGGTCATTTGGATTTTTTAAAAATAGCTTAATCGACAATTTCTCTAGTATTCCAATGACCCTGACCTTTGACCTTGACCTATACTTCATGGTCAAAGGTCAAAAGATCTCATGCAGTTGGGCCCATGTCTTTACGACTTGTCGTTAAGAAGTGTTTAGTTCTTCGTAAACATCATCAACTGGCAGGGGCAATAACTACTTAAAATGGTTTACGAATTCTTTTGCACTAATGGAATAAGAAGTGTTCCAAATTAGTAGCAGACATTGTTGAAGGTTTTGTACCTCTACAGTTTACGGTTTCGGAGGAGTAGCGATAACAAGGGTTTACACTGAAGGGGGCACTAACTTTTAGAGGGGTCAATCTTAGGGGACAAGAATGAAATCTCTAAAATGGTTTTAAGAGTACATATTGAAGATGCAAAGATGTTTAGAATTTCGTTAAGAACAAAAGAGCTATTAAAAATGCTTAATTTTACAGATTTTGAATGACCTTGACCTTTGACCTTGACCTAGATTTTAAGGTCAAAGGTCAATGAATCTTTTGCAGTTGGTCCCATGTCTATACGCCTTGTCGTTTTAGAAAAGTTCTTGATATTCGTAAACATTACAAACATTCAGGGGCAATAATTTGTTATAAGAGCTTAGGAATCCTTTCGCAATGTTTGATTGGAGAGTCTACTAAATTAGTCGTAAACATTAATTTAGGTTTGGAATCTCTGCGGTTTACAGTTTTGGAGAAGTAGCGATAACAGATATTTCTTGCAAAAGGGGCAATAACTTCGAAAGGGGTCAAAGTTCTAACATAGGGTGTCGTTTTTCGGAATAACTTTTAATATCCAGTATCATGAACTATAAAGTTTTTCGATAAGTCTTTCGGTGTCAAAACATAAGGTGAGAAATAAAATAAAAACCAGAAGCATTTCAAGAGGTCTTTCCACAGAAAGGTGGAAAGACCTAATAACTAGGAGACTTATTGTTCACAGAACAATAAGAGGTCTTTCCACCTTCATTGAATTTCAAGTTTGTTTTATATCTGACTCCTTAAAATTAAATTCCATGAAAAAGAAACCAATGTGGTCTTAAAGCATAGAAAAAATGAAAATTAAAAAAAATTGGAATGACCTTGACCTTTGTCCTTGAGAAATGTTCAAGGTCAAATGTCAAGGGTAACAATGCAATTGGCCCCATGCTTCTACGACTTATAGTTTTCAAGTTATAATGTTTAATAGTAAGTATAAAGAAGTTAAAGGGAAATAATTCATATAAGGGGTCATCAGATCCTTTAGCACTTATACAGTGAAGTTAGGTCTTAAGACATCAGTGAAGGTTTGGTGTCTCTACAGTCTATGGTTTCGAAAGAGTAGCGATTTCAAAGTTTTCGCACAAGGGGCAATAACTTTTAAAAGGGTCAGTCCTATAGGACAAGAATAAAATCTTTAAAAGAGTATTAAGAGTGCAGGTTACAGACAGAAGGTAGATAGTATATGTTGAAGGATATAAGAGCTATTGAAAGAAATTAATTCCTCATGTTTGGAATGTCCTTGACCTTTGACCTTGAAAATAATTTGAAGGTCAAAGGTCAATGAATCTTATGCAGTTGGTCCCAAGTCTCTATCACTTCTTGTTTTGAAAATTTTTAATTATTTCTAAAATTAAAAAAGTTTCAGGGACAATAACTCATTGAAGGGGTCACCGAAAACTTTTGCAATGAATAGATTCCAGAGTCCTCTCAATTAGTCGAAGACTTTAGTGAAGGTTTCATATCTCTATGGTTTACGGTTTCGAAGGAGTAGCGATAACAAGCATTTCTTGAGAAAGGGGCAATAACTTCGAAAGCGGTTAACGATGAAACATGGGGGGTCGTTTTTCGAAATAACTTTTAATATCCAAAATCATGAACTATAAAGTTTTTCGATAAGTCTTTCAAAAGTCCGGGAAGAAAAATAACTAGGAGACTTATTGTTCACAGAACAATAAGAGGTCTTTCCACCTTCTTTGAATTTCAAATTTCTTTTTATCTGACTCCAAAAAATTAAATTCCTTGAAAAAGAAACCAAAACTGTCTTAAAACATAGAAAAAATAAAAATAATAAAAAAAAAGAATGACCTTGACCTTTGACCTTGAAAAAAATATTTTAGGTCAAAGGTCAGGGTCACAATGCAATTGACCCCATGCTTCTATGACTTATAGTTTTTAAATTATAAGGTTTAATAGTATGTACAAAGAAGTTAAAGGGCAATAACTCAAATAAGGGGTCATCAGATCCTTTCTCACTTACACAGTGAAGTTAGGCCTAAAGACCCTAAAGACATTAGTAAAGATTTGGTGGCTCTACTGTCTACGGTTTCGGAGGAGTAGCGATAACAAGGTTTTTCGCACAAGGGGCAATAACTTTTAAATGTGTTCATGTTAGGGGACAAGAATGAAATCTGTGAAACAGTTTTAAAAGTACATATTAATGATGCATAGACATAAAGTATATGTTAAAAGACAAAAGAGATATAAAAAATGCTTAATTTCTCATTTTTGGAATGACCTTGACCTTTGACCTTTATATGAATTTTAAGGTCAAAGGTCAATGAATCTTATGCAGTTGGTCCCATGTCTCTACGACTTGTCGTTTTAAAAAATTTAAATTATTTGTTAAATTCAAAAAGTTTCAGGGGTCACCGAATGTTTTTGAAATGAATAGATTGAAGAGTTCCATTAATTAGTCGAAGACTTTGGTGAAGGTTTCATACCTCTACAGTTGATGGTTTCTGAGGAGTAGCGATAACAAGCATTTCTTGCAAAAGGGGCAATAACTTCGGAAAAGCTGAAGATTCATTTACGCAGGGTCAACTGCAAAAATATTTTATGGAGTACATTCTTATGGACTATAAATCTCTTAGATATATCTTGAAACTCAAAATCACACAGCGGAAAAATAAGAAGAATAAGAAACAGAAGAAAACCAATAGGTCTTTCCATGGAAAGGTGGAAAGACCTAATAATAAACATAAGCATTTCAAGAGGTCTTTCCACAGGAAGGTGGAAAGACCTAATAAACAGAAGAATATCAATAGGTCTTTCCACAGGAAGGTGGAAAGACCTAAAAAAAGATGAAATCCCCTGATTTATAAGTTGTGTGTTGTCACATTTTGTAGCAATCCGGAATTTCTACAACTTGTGTTGGTTTTATTTTTATATTGATTCCACATTTTCCCTTCGTTATTGTTGACACGGTTTGCAGCTTCTTACCATACCTGTTTACCTCGTTCTATGCAACTTGGGCGCACAATGGAGTAAGTTTTATTGTTTGCGATGCTTAATATCCATTATCAAATCTGTACGGTTAAAGATTTTATATGCATTTGGTCATTATTTTGTAAAACATCTTGGTTAATAATAGGGATGTCAAATCAGTCAATTTTTAGTACTCGGTTACTCGGACGTTTCTCCGATCGAGTACCCGGGTACTCGGTAAAAAGTGTAAAAAAAAAAATATGAACAAGTAAATTGATGACTGTAACATGTGTAAAACATTGAAAACTCTTGTAGAAATAAAACCACATGCTTTGATAGGAGGTTTACCAGTAAATGTATTTCTGATGTAACAATGATAAGCACTTCGTGTCCGACGAAATTTAATATAGCATTTTTTTTTTAATATCAGATAAACAGTATTAAACACAAGAAATAAAACCATAAGTGGTTCACACTGTTTTTTTTTTAAATACTTGTTCCGTAAATTGTAACTCTTGGTTGCGTTTGAAGTCCAGGTATCAGTATCAAATTGAACTTGACCTTGAGTTCTCATAAAAGAGAGGATTTAAGATTTTCGCACACTTTTTCAATCCTACATTATACAGTATTTCGGGACGGTATTTTGTAGGTTAGTGCAAAGATGGACATCAGTTCTTAAAAGCCTTTGTCTTTAACCATTTGTATTGGCGTGTAATCAAACAATTAAAACCATATCAACAATCGCACGTGTAATATTTTTCTCTTTTCTGAGAACTTACGGCTTCTCCGAAAATTGACAAAATTATCTAATTTATTTAAACACAATAGACCTTAAACGATATTCAGTGAAAACAAACAACATGAACAAAGCAAATTAAAAATAATGGTAGAAGACAGCCAAAGGTGAAAAGGCCAGGTAGCAGGTACTTGGTCACAATAGTTACTATATAAACACTGCCAATGGCGATAACGGTCATTTAGAGGTGTTGGAAACCCTAATTACTGTATGTACAAGTACAATGAGCATTTTACGTTTTAAAACAGATTGTTTATTGCATTAATAAATAAGCTACGAAATATTCAAAAATATACATCCGAGTAACCGAGTACCAATTTTAGTATTCGATACTCGGATGTTCGATCGAGTACCCGGTTAACCTGGTACTCGTTGACATCCCTAGTTTATAACGTAGTGTGTGGAATCTATTTTTAGATGACATGTGCGAGTTGCACATTTCATGATTTATAACATTTTGTAGGTTTTATGTCTCAATATATGGCATTTTGGTGTTGTATTACACAGTCACATATGTCTCTAATATTCCAGTAATTTTCTCCTAGTCTTAGTATTATTATTTAATGTGAAATGTAGGGATTTATAGCATTGAAATAGTGCGGGAAATTTGAGGGCATGTTGTAAAACATTGATTGTGTAAAGTTCATAGATAATGCATAAATTTAATGGCATGCTGTAAAACGTAGATTGATCAAGTTAATCGAATACATGTCAATTGATTATGCAAGTTTAAGCCTATACTAAGGTTATGAGATAGAGTAATAGTTCTAGTCATTTGTTCTAGTCATTCGTCAGGTTACATTTATTTACTTTTTGGATGAAATGTCAACTATTGTGTTCTCTGTTCTTATTTGATTCATTGTAATGTTTCAGATCTAACCAATATCACCATTTCTATTGTCATCATCTCCACCATTTTCTCACGGAGCAATAAACGGCTAAACTTACTGCTTCACTTGCATTTTTTATTGGAAGAGGGCAATAGGCAGTACAATTAGATTCCATTCTAGCAGAACACAGCGAGATCAGAGATGGGTACAGAAGAGGACAAGGAGGAACGGACAAGGAAATTAACAGAAAAGGGATCAGGACAATATAGTGAAAGGAACTCTTTTTACAGAAACAAGACAGAGAAGGCGTGGGATGATGTTCAGAAAGTTTTGGTAAACCTATATGAAGTGGACGGCAGCACAGTCGACATTATGGAGTCTGACCTTCGCAAGCATTACGACCACTACGTCTCGGTGTGTTCAGATTACATTGAATTTCTCAAAGGGACAAGAACTGATGAGAGTGACAATGAGTTGTGTTTACTTGAAAAAACTTTATCAAACTGCGGAAGGATGTTCAAATCTGCTTTGACGCAGATCAAAATAATCAGGAATGCAGATGCGAAATCTATTGCGAACACCACTGCTGACTCTTCTGCATCACGGGAAACAAAGGTTCAAATTAAGTTGGAAAAAATAAAGGCAAAGGTAAAGTTGGCTGAAGAGGAAGCTGGAATTCAAAAACAGTTGGCAGAAATTAGACATACAAGAGAGGAGGAGAAGTTGAAGGCAGAATTAAATGTTATCAGTTTGAAAAAGGAGGCCATCGAATTAGAAGCGGAAGCAAGGGCTTCATCAATTGGAGAAGATCGGGACAACTCTCCCCCTCCTCCTATGCGATTACCAATGGAAAAGAGTCGTACTGAACGATATGTGGCTGAGCATTTTCATAATCCTATAGTTCATCCTTTACATTATGGACCCTCCAACTCGCCTTACATCAAATCAGACCCCTGTGACCGAGATCCGTTTTGTCGTCATACACCAAACAACGATAACAGTGTGGCATCAGAGCTCACATCTTTCCTCCTAAAGAAAGACCTTTTGATGACAACCATATCCACCATTCTCATTTCTCATTCACAACTCACGCATCCAAATCAAATACCTTTTCATACTCGACTGGAAACCAGAAACCTGTCATCGCTAGAAAGACAGATGTAAAGGTCAATGTAAGTAACAGTCCAGACAAAATGTGTCCACTCTCACCTTACTTAGACGAAGATGGTCTGCTGAGTGTTGGTGGCCGATTAAATCGCCTTCGAGATAGTCTGGGACTTGCATCTACGAATCCTGTCATCATATCTAAGGGAGTCGTAGCAATGCTTCTTGTGAAACATTTTCATGAAAAAACCTTTCACCAGGGCAGGGAATTTACAGAAGGAAAGATACGCTCAAATGGTTTCTGGATTATAGGAGCAAAGAGAATCTTTACATTTCTAATTGGAAAGTGTGTCTTATGTCAGAAACTCAGGGGAAAGATGCTAGAACAAGAGATGTCAGATTTGTGACAGATCGTCTGGTTCCTGGACCGCCCTTCACAGCAGTCGGCGTGGATACCTTTGGGCCATGGGACATCACAACCCGCAAGACACGAGATGGAGCCGCTCAAAGTAAACCTTGGGCAGTCATTTTCACCTGTTTAACGACTCGTGCAGTGCATATCGAGCTAATTGAAGAAATGAGCAGCTCTAGTTTCATAAAGGCTTTGAGGCGAGTAACAGCAGTTAGAGGGCCAATCAAAATCTATAGATCGGATCGAGGAACGAACTTTGTGGGTGCGACGGATCAGATTGGTATCGACTCAATCAATGTGGATGGTCCCCACTTCTCCCACATGGGAGGGGTGTGGGAAAGAATGATCGGCATTACTCGGAGAATTTTAGATGGAATACTAGTTCAACAGAAAGCTAAGACTTTTTCCCATGAAATCCTGTCCACACTGATGTCTGAAGTGTCTGCTGTGATGAATTCCAGACCAATCTCAACTATTTCATCTGACCCAGAGACACCGTTAATACTGAGCCCAAACATTCTCCTCACTTAGAAACAAAGTGAAGATTCCCTTACGTTCTCAGAACAACTCTAACTCAAGGATGTCTATAGAACAGACTGGAAACACGTTCAAGTACTCTCAGATCTCTTTTGGAGGAAGTGGAAGGATACCTACTTGAATGAACTGCAACAACGGAGAAAGTGGCACGACAAGAAACCGAATGTAAAACCCGTTGATGTCGTACTTGTCAAGGATGCAAGCCTCGTTCGTTACCAGTGGCCAATTAGAGTAGTGGAAGAAGCCATAAAGAGTGACGATCAGTTGGTTCGCAAAGCTGTTATCCGAATACATCGCGATGGAAAAAATGTGTTGTATACTAGACCTATCAATGAGCTTGTTTTGTTATTAGATGATTAGTTTGTATGCTTAGTGAATATAGGAGTTTTTAGTTTAGATTGTTATATCTTCAGATATAAGACGGGGAGTGTGTTGTCACATTTTGTAGCAATCCGGAATGTTTACAACTTGTGTTGGTTTTATTTTTCTATTGATTCCGCATTTTCTCTTCGCTATTGTTGACACGGTTTGCAGCTTCTTACTATACCTGTTTACCTCGTTCTCTGCAACTTGGGCGCACAATGGAGTAAGTTTTATGGTTTGCGATGCTTAATATTCATTATCAAATCTGTACGGTTAAAGATTTTATATGCATTTGGTCATTATTTTGTAAAACATCTTGGTTTATAACGTAGTGTGTGGAATTTATTTTTAGATGACATGTGCGAGTTGCACTTTTCATGATTTATAACATTTTATAGGTTTTATGTCTCAATATATGGCATTTTTGTATTGTATTACACAGTCACATATGTCTCTAACATTCCAGTAATTTTCTCCTAGTCTTAGTATTTATTATTATTTAATGTGAAATGTAGGGATTTATAGCATTGAAATAGTGCGGCGGGAAATTTGAGGGCATGTTGTAAAACATTGATTGTGTAAAGTACATAGATAATGCATAAATTTAATGGCATGCTGTAAAACGTAGATTGATCAAGTTAATCAAAATACATGTCAATTGATGATATGCAAGTTTAAGCCTATACAAAGGTTATGAGATGGAGTAATAGTTCTAGTCATTTGTTCTAGTTATTCGTCAGGTTATATTTATTTACTTTTTGACTGAAATGTCAACTATTGTATTCTCTGTTCTTATTTGATTCATTGTAATGTTCTAGATCTAACCAGTATCACCATTTCTATTGTCATCATCTCCACCATTTTCTCACGGAGCAATAAACAGTTACACTTACTGCTACACTTGCATTTTTTATTGGACGAGGGCAATAGGCAGTACAAGTACAGTAGACAGTACCCATTAAAATATTTATAGAACCATTTTATTTAAAAAAATAAAACCTAGTCATTATTTTCATGTGGCATTAAGCCGTGAACTCAACATGTGCATATAGCAAAACAGGTTTTCAGTTGCCATGCTCTCGAAGCCCGTGATCGCTGTTGTAAATGACCTTAATCACAGTTGAAAGGCGGAAAGAAGATTCTAATGCATTTTTAATGGGTATTTCTGAGCACACATTTAACAAAGGATTTTAAAAAGAATTGAAAATTAAGCATTTGCTTAAACTAACATTAGATTGAAGGTCACAACAAAAGATGAAAGACTGTACTAGTAATTTAATTAACACCCCCCCCCCTCTTTTATAAAAATGTGGTCGTCAGTGCATGTGAATTAAAATTATAAAATCCATTTATTTGACAATAATGAGTAACAAGTTTTATGTATTAAAAAGGATAAAATGACACATCGTTTCAAATGTAAAGACAAGAGCGGAGTCCTGATATCTGGATATATTTTTGCTTTAAATAAAAAAAAAATAATACCGGTATATTTCTTTCTTTCTTTGAGAAAAAAAATTTAAGAAGCCATGATCACGTTTATAGTATATTGAATTGAATGCCCATAAAAGAGTTGTACATAGCTGATTAATTTGAACACATTTTCAATAGAAGGAAAAGAAATCAAACAAATATAAATTATACATAACAGTTTCATTTCATTTTGTTGTTCCATTTTTTTTTTTTTTTGTTTTTACTCCTATAATATCACAAGCATAACTAATTATGTTCCCCAAACGAAGTTTGGGAACAAATTGATTTTACTCGGTTTCTAATATTTTTATTATTATTATTTTATTATTATTATTATTATTATTATTATTATGTTCCCCTAACGAAGTTGGGGAACATATTGTTTTTACTCTGATTTTTATTATTATGTTCCCCGAACGAAGTTGGGGAACATATTGTTTTTACTCTGTTTCTTATTATTAAGGTCTTCCGTCTTCATGGAAGACATTATAGTGATTCTACTGTTTCTTATTAAGGTCTTGCGTCTTCACGGAAGACCTTATAGAGATTCTACTCATTCTTATTCTTATAAAGGTCTTTCGTCGTCACGGAAGACCTTATAGTGATTCTAATGTTTCTTCTTATTTTAAGGTCTTTCGTCTTCACGGAAGACCCTATAGTGATTCTATTGTTTCTTATTATTAAGGTCTTCCGTCTTCACGGAAGACCTTATAGTGATTCTACTGTTTCTTCTTCTTCTTCTTATTATTATTATTATTCTTTTTATTATTTTTTTGACTTTCTAATTTTGTGCACGCGATTTCTCGAAGACTACTGGGTGGAATGACGTGAAAATTTCAGAAAGGATGTGTCGTAATATGAATTTCATATATCCGGGAGATTTTTTTGAAATTCGCTTCCGGTGCCAAGTTATGGGACATTTCCTGATTTTAAAATGACATTTTGTCTTCGGATAATCTCAAGAACGGTAAAAGATATCGTTGTGAAACTTTTAGGGATTATAGATCATGATATTCACTATCCAGGACGCGACCTCTCGTTCGTCGTCAGTACTTCCGGTCGTTACGACAAGCAAATTAAAAAAAATGTATTTTCTAACTTTTTTGTTTTTCAATATTTTTCATTTCTTTTTGAAACGCTAATAGAGACCCTTCTATTGATGCTTACTATATAAGTTGTTTGAATATTGGTTAGTCTTAACTCTAGATATTAATATTATAAAATCTGAAGCGGGCCCAAGATGGCGGCTGTCTCTGTCAACTCCGCGATTTCGCGAGTAGGGGCTTATGGAGGCAGCTGAGCGTTTGATTAAACCATTCTGACATAAGGATACATGAAATGTAAAAACTACTTCGACTCTCACGTAGTAGTGAAATGGTTGGAGGAGTTACCTCCCGTTACTTGTTAATATGATAATAGATAAACAATGTAAATATTGTAATTAATTGGTCAATTGACAAAAGAATTATACAAGTATTATTGACAAATGATGTTCTGTTAGAAAGTAATAATAGTCTTGCCAAAAGAAAGGCAGTCTGTTCTATTTTATCAATATGATATCTGATAACTTATGTTCATTGATTAAGTTGGGGTACATGGGGGCAGTACAGCCAACTCGCATGTGTCTTCACTTTGGTACAGGAACCAATTAATTTATCGATCAAAACGGATTGTGCAAAGTTGCCGTAGTCGGTGACTAGCTAAAATGTAGCTGTGTGACGTAAGCTATAGGTTTGTCATTAGGACTGAGAAGCTCTTACAAAGTTAAATCATACTGTGTAAGTATATTGTAGCCACTTGGCTAGAGTTATATAGGCAACTTGGTAAGCAGTAATACACCAGGCAGGTGTTAAATGTTAAATCAAGAGGCACCAGGCAGATAGATGTTGACTAACATTGTCAGTTGTACGAGTATAGTGAGGCAATTATCATATGGCACCAGGCAGGTGCCGGTATTAACTGAAGATATATAATTATACAAAGCGCTTAGATCATTTGATTTAAAGACACCAGGCAGGTGTCATATTATTATCTGTATATATTGCATTCAATTATATCCCCAGTAAAACTCGGTTATTCGAGCACAGACCTACTGACCGCTCTGCTCCGACACGTTACCGTAGTACGTTGCAATTGAGTGTCAATCTTAAAACTTGATTTCCGTTTCACTGCTTTAGTGTATCTGGGCTAGATACGATATGTAATGTGTATAATGTGTTACATATACTTTCTTAACGTCGAAATAAAATAAAGGCGCTAATAATGTTTTATTTTAAAA